CTTTTTTTTCGATACTCGAAGAGAATAAATTTTCGAAATTTTTAATATATCCATCAACGATGTTAATCTTAACTTTCGTCGACAACAATAATAGTCGTCGCATCGTTTAATACGAAAATCGCGACGCCCGAATTTATATCGAATATATAAATATCGTGGATGGAAAACGATTGAAATCGGGTGGTTGGCAAGGGATGAAAAGCTCGGCGACGCGGCAAGAAGTCATTGAACCGCAAGGAACCGTTCGAACCGCGCCGATGAGAGGAGATAATTTGTTGGTTCAGCGACTTCTTTCCCCGGGAGTGAAGCTGTCGCGATTTCAACTACGTGGCTTTTTCTCTTTGCCGTCGCGGCCTCGAAGGAGGAACAACCACCGATAATATCCGTGCCGTGAGGGAATCTTTCGACCTTACCACTTATCTCTGCCAATTATTTGTCTCCGATGAACCGAGACACCATGTTTTACGTAGGAATCGACGCCTCTTTAAATTTTCGTCTCATCCGATATCTTCCACCTTCTGTGTTACGCTTTATTAATTATACAGTAATGTACATTCAATCGATATAATTAAATTAGAATTATCGTACTTGGAACAAGAAATTATCGAACAATTAATTGTTTCATATTCTTTATTTATTCCTCGAATTAATCGCTCGCGTTTCGAGAAGCGATTACAGCTTCATACGTAGTCTTCGCTACGACCAAGATTCGACTTTAAAATTAAATTCACGCTCACGAAACGAACGGTTAATAACCTATTATCTCGCAGCCAATCCCTGCCAGGAGGAGCGAGGTAACTCCCCTCTGGTAAGGCTCTCCTCGACCCTCTTCCCGTACTCTTGCTACGTTGTAAAAGATGTTGGAAAGACGGAGGGGTAACGAGAGGGGAGAATGAAATAGAAGGTGCTTTGCGGTGAGGGCGGGTAAGTGCGATGGTCAACCACCGTCTAACCGGCCAACTCTCCGAGATACGTGTCCGTAGGTGAAAGCAACTTCTCCGAGAACTTCTCTAATTAAACGGCCCCCTTCTTCCTTTCGTGATTAGTAATACCGCGCTAATGAACTCCCACCAGGTTACTTTCGGCTTTGTTCCTCCGCTCCTCTGCGATTGTCTCGCCTTCCAATCCGATCTGCTTTGATTTTCGCTTCTCGTCGAGAACGTCGAGGCAGGGATCGAGAATTTATTACATTGTCGCAGCCTCTCGTTAAATAATAAAAACGTAACTCTTTTATTATAACAGCTCCAAGAAACCGTTCTTCACTCTCGCCATCTCATTTTGAAAAATTCACGCGATGCCATTCTCGATTGGAGAAATCGGAAGAGAAGCTAGCTCGATGAATATTTCCCTTCGTTTCGCTCTATTTTCGAAATATCCGCGAATCAGATCCGAATAAATTTCCCAATCGTTTCCCACATTCCACGCGATAACGAGTTCGTTTATATAAAAAAAAAAAAAAAAAAGGGAAAAAACCGGAGAACGAGAGAATCTCGAGATATGCAGATATCGGTGGAATTTTCATTGTTTCCCTATTTCAGGCGGACGCGGCGAGCCGTGGGCGCATGCGCCCGCGCTTACACGTCCGTTCGGGCGACACGCCCTTTCCGGCTGAGGTATTTCTCTCTGGGAAAGGTGAGATAACGGAAGTACGTAAGGAATGCAGAGCCCGAAAGGAGAACGCTTAACGGGATTAGAATCGGTCGCGTGCCGAGCATATCTTCCCGGTATTACGTAATTGCGCCGTCTTCCGCTTGCGCGACTCTCTCGCGTACGAGACGGTGCATCCTCCGCGCGCGCGAGAATTCGCATATGCGCATTCGTNTCCTCGAATTTCTTTTTCGTCGTTGTTTGAAAAAAAAGGGGAGGGGAGGGGAGGGAGGGAATCACACGACGGAGATGAAGAGAAAGTGGATCAGGATGAAATCGAACATGGATGGAACAAGGGATTTTTTATCGAATTTCTCTCTTTCGAAAGGTTTGCAATGGTTGGATCTGATGGTTTTGATGGATTCGTGACAATGATTCAGCGGCACGTGAGATTTGGCAGCAACGGGGTATTATGGAAACGAAGGGTGAATGAATGGAATTGGATTGATTGGCAGATAGATATATATATATATATGCGATTCTTGTGATGTTGGTTGATCGGGGAAGATGGATAATGTTTTAGAAGTTCATTAACTTGGAGATGCTTGGGTATTATTTGTGATGGGATAAGCGGGATTGATCGAAATGACGATAACGAAATATTTGACGTATTTCAATTGGAGAATTATGGATTTTTGAATTGTCGTAAGTTTTCGGGGAAAGAAATATCGAACCTACGTTTATTTCAAAGGATAAAGTTTCTAATTTAATTTCGTTTTTATATTTGGAAACGTACGAAAGATATAACGAAAGAACCGAAGCTGGATTTTTTCTTAAAACTTTATAAATCTCTTTAAATTTTCTTCAGTTTCAACACTCGTTGAATTTTCAAAGCGAAGTCATCGCTTTGAAGAAACGATACTTAAAAAAATTTATGAACGAAAACCGAGCTATCACTTGAAAATTGTCGATTCAAGCTTAATTGCTATTTCGAGATCATTTGAAAATCAAACCGTATAGATCGTTTGACGCTAAAATTTCGATAATTCCAATAATAACGGAGAACGAAAAATTGCTCGCTGCTATAAAATGCATCCATAACTATTAAAGAATCTAAATGTATCACCGTAAATCCCAAAAATCTGGATGATTTTCCAACAACGAAAGAAAGTTCTGATCCGCACTCTTCCCTAGCCGAGTTTCGTGAAGAGGTCGAACACAAATCATCCCCTTCTTAGCAATCCGGCTGAGATTGCGAATCGAACTGATACGTGACAACGAGAATTTCGCAGAATCGTTGCCAAAGGGGATGTATTTTATTCCATTGGAATTTGAAGCGAGAAGAGCTTGGCCCTGATACAACGTGAAATATGACTCGCGGGGAGTGGAAGGAGCGCCGCGAAGGAGCAATAAAATCTGTCCCGAGCGTAACCGAACGCCTCCTGCACCCGTAACATCCTGGGAACGAGCTTCCGTCTTCTACGTCTTCTATTCGCGGGGGGCGAGAGGGTTGATACGCGTTGACGAGACAGTATGAAATTGGCCATGGAGGCGCGTCATGTAAATTTTCCGCCACTACGTCGTCGTGGCTTCGACGCCACCATGTAACCCGCCACCAGAAGTGGGTGAAGCGGTGTCTACCTCTTTGCGCGCCACCACGTAGTCTTGTTGCGGATGAAAGGTGCTGTGCTCGAGGTGAGGAGTTTCTGATGGAGATATTTAATGCGCGGAATATTTCAAAGGTTCCGTTTCGAGTCAAGGGTCGAGTCAACGGGTTGGTCGAGATAATGGAGTTTGCGAGGGGGAATAATTTTGGCAAACTTGGTTCTAATATTTGTGATGCATGCAGTGTTTCGAAGTAGCTCGAAAGGGGGAGAAAGAAAAAAGTGAGAGTAAAATTTTTGTCTTTAAGGTCTTTAAGCGTGGAACTCGATACCGAAGAGGAGCTCGTACACCGATCTACGTGTGTGTGTGTATATATATGTATATATATATATATAAGCCAGTAGCACGATGTCAAACGCTCGAGGAACAATGGCAGCGCGCTGTAATGCGAAGGAGGTCATCAGCGACACGTAATAAAGAGGTCGTCGACGTGGCAGATGCAACCCTCTCTGCTACAACCCTCTTGTTCGGTATTCCTCTGTTTTACGAAACTCCGTGCATCCGTGTTATTGTTACGCAGGTAAGGTTAACGACCTTGCCGAAGAAACGTGGCAAAATTTCGTCGATCACCATTGATAAATCCCCCCTCTTTTATAACGCTATAGACTCGTTCCAGATGCGGATCATGTCTTCCGTCGTCGCAACATTTACGACTCGCCTCTTGCCTCGTTTTTACGACGAAAAACCGGAAAAAGAGAGAGAAAGAGAAAGAGAGATCTTCCATCATACTGTCGACTATACACGTGACACACTGTAAATTTTCCAAACTTCACGAGGAGGACGCGATAAAAAACTAAACTCCATTTTCGCCGATCGAGCTCGTAATAACTTGCGGAAAGTATCCAAGTACGAGTCGTATAAATTTCAATGCGAATTAGGATAAGAATAATTTTCTTTCCTTTCGCGATTCTCATCTATATGTCTCGTCCACGAATGAGAAACAGTTATGAAACGAGGGAGGAGGGCCGATCCTTAAAGTTGTTCGTAGAAGCCGGGAGCGGCACACACGCTCGTGGACACGCTCATGGCCTTTAAACCGTATTCTGCACGACGCCCTGAGGTGCTTTTGTCATATGACATGCCGGTGAATAATTCACCTGGCGCGCACACAGAGCGATGACGTCGTGGAAATCGCGATACCACGACCACCCATAAAAC